TCGGGGGCGCCCGGGGCGGGCTTCCCACCATAAGGTGGCTGCCGATGAAAGATGGTGTGCGGGTGGGCGGGTCCATGGGACTTAGAGTCGGGCAGTCGTGAGTTCTGGCTAAAACTTCCAGCTGTGACCTCGGGCAAGTCAGACACCTCCCCACAGCCCCATGTGAAGCGCAGGTCATCCACCTCCGCTCTACGCTCCCCTATCTAAAGCAGTGCCGACAGAACATGCACCCGACGAATGGCGACTCCGGTGACAGCCGATGCCACGTGCTGATAAGAAAAATCCAAGCCAGAACTGGGAGAGAAGCCAGCGCCAGGAGTGTGGACGCCCGAGCTGTGTTTGCTGAGGAACGAGCGCTCGGGGTCTGACTGTCATTCTCAATGGGGGGCCATCGACAGCATCACACGGCTTCAGGAGGACCGCTGCGTGACGAAGCAGACGATGGAGGGGAAACGCTGGAGGCGGACATCCGTGCTTGGGACACAGGCGAGTACGGTACCGAGCTGGGGCAATGGCGAGGGGCAGGGAGGAGGCAGGGCTGTCACGAGAACACAGCGGGACAGGAAAAGAGCCGCAGCATGTGGCCAGAAAGCACCAAGGACCACAGAGGAAGAAACGTGCGATGGCCTTCCCGAGGGAACAGGCTTGATGTGACCTCTCCAAGTGGGGAGTGAGGACATGACGGCCCCTGCTCAGGAGGGGATGGGAGTTGGCACGAGGGGAGGGCACCCAGCTTGGGAGAGGACGGCCAAGGTATCCAGAGACCTGGCTTCCACGAAACCTGGGCGTCGGGGCCAGAGACGGCAGCTGAAGCTATAGGCTTTGGGCGAGAGTCACCCAGCTTGGGAGTACCAAAATAATACGCTGTGGCAGGCTCGGGGCAGGCACCCCCACTCACGGGGCACGAGGGCAGCAGGGCCGGGGCAGGCACCCCCACTCACGGGGCACGAGAGCAGCAGGGCCGGGGCACAACCACACTCACTCATGCGGACACCAGGAGGGAGGCCGGCTAAAGTACCCACCGGTGAGGGACTCGGGAAGGGATAACGAGGTACAAAAATAAGAACAACAGTTTCTACACAAACTTGAGTAACTTACTAGATTTGTGGTTTTGACATTTAAGCCATAGAGTTAAAGCTAAAACATGTCATTGGGTTTCTTTAGGAATCAGAACTAATCAAAACTCAACGTTTCTACACTTCTGCTAGCTACGAATTAAACCAAAATTTTAAAAGTAGCAATAAATGCCCATAGGAGACTAATTCAAAAAATTTCCATGTTTATTTACATATTGCATATCTGGAAAAAGTGAAGTTTAACAAGAAGTCGGCCAATCTCTGGGCAGGCCGTGTCAAGCATTAGCGGGAAAGGTGTTCCAAAGGCTCGACACCTTTTCCTGGAATCCCCACGGCGGAAGTTCCCGTGTTCCGATCAGTTGCCAAGGAAGTGCCAAGTTTGCTCTGAGTTTAAAGTGAGAGAAGAAGAAGATGGGAATGGGGGAAGAGGAAGAGGGAGGGAAGAAGATTTCATTTAGACAGTTAGGCAGGTAAACAGCCATGGGCTTATAGAAACATGTTTCTCTACTTAACCTCTCCCCTTTCACCTCTTGTCCCAAGTTCTCGTATATAAAAGCACATTAAAATTTCTAGAACCTCCCCACCTTATTTCCTATATCTTTCTGGTCATTTTAGTCTCTCCCAGATAACTGATTACAGAAGGAAGCATCCTAGCTACAACATGAAAGACGCAGAAAACCGTGGCTGGGAAACTCTGCCCATCGAACGCTCAAAACGGGACAGAGCAGCAAAGCGGAGGCCTTGAGCTGCCTGTACGGGGAGGAGGCCTGGCCAGGGCCTTGTTTCTATCTAAACGTCTTCCAACCTGACTCAGAATTGGGCAGTCGGGAAAGTCATGATGCATTTTAGCATAGGAAAACAGAGAAAAATATGTCACAACTTTCCCGATGACCACCTAATTGTTTTCATTTTTCCTCCAAATAGGAAAGGTGAATATTCTTCTAATATTTCATATTGAAACAAAAGGCCAAAAGTCTTCCAATACTTGAAAGACAGATGATACATGCATACCTCCATTCGAAAATTCTTAACAGAACATTTTTGTTTTAACTCAGCTACAAAAATATGGTTACAAAAAATATGGTCAAGTGTTGTTTTTATTTGTTTAGTTTTTTGCCATAGGACATGTGTGCCTCGCTGAGGGGGGCAGAGAGAGAATGAAAACTCACCCCCCACCCCCAGGGGGGATGGCTACACGGCAATCCCTTCTCCTCCATTCTCTTCTCGGGATTTTGGGCATGTATATACACATGCTCAGTGTGGTTTTCAAGCCACCGGGTCCAGAACTTGACCTCAGTTGGCCATGTGGGAATCTAGTGCCTTAAACACCTTGCCACCTGTTGGACCTCATGGTAAGTATTTTTAATTCTAGTATAAATTCTGATTTTTAAACCCCTAATTAAAATAAGTTAATTGGGGCCAGCTGGTGGCATGGGGGTTGAAGCAGCTGGATCACACATGGCCTACCGAGTGGTTTGAGTCCCAGACCCCCACCAGCTTAAAAAAAAAACATGGGGAAGGAGAATGGAGAAGGGATTATGGCACAAATATCCCCCCCATAAGAGGCGCTTTTTCACTCCCCCGACCCCCACCGCCGTGAGCATGCATGCCCTCTAGCCCCCACCCCAAAAAAAGGGCCAATCATTAAAATTAGAAATAATAAATAAAATCTTCCAGGTTCAGATATCTGGAGTTTTAAAGCTTATCAGAACTAGCTGGAATCTCTCGGTGCTTCACCAAAAACTAAGTCGTTGCATGATCAAACCTTTTCTACCCTAAAGGTAACAAAGTGTTCCTTTTCGCTCTTTGAAACTAGAAAATATGATATTTTATATGAAAATTTTAATGACTACAAAAAATCTATAACTATTTAATTTACTGTCTTTCAATAATGTAAACAAATACATTTATATGCCCTGCACCTCAACAACCAAAATATCCCATACCTTCTTCACTGCTTTCTTTACCCTGCGAAGATGACACCTGAAAGATAAACAGGGAGAAAGGATCCGTCATAATGAGTATTTACAGGCGGAAACCGCGTCAGGAAAAGGTTTTCCATAAATGAAAGTACAAAATTTACATGCACAGTTCCCTGACCTGAAAAACGGCTGTAGCGTTTCTCTTCACTTTTTACTGTCATTGCTCATTTTTTCCAACAGACAAACCACAGACATGGAGTCAGAAAAGAGTGCTTGAAAACGCTTTTTGCCACTGCCCAGGGTACCAGTGAGGCCTGCGGTCAGTAGAGAGAGGCGGGTCCATTGTTTCCCTGGCTGAGGGCTTCACAGCAGCCAGCCACATGCATGTTCAGCACACATGTGCACGTGCATGCATGCACACACACGCACACACTTTAGTCGTCTCCTAGAGCTCTTTAGTTAATTTCTCTGTTTATTTTAAGGGCTGGGCCAAGGCTCTTACAGCAGATATAATTAAAGTAGACAAGTCTGGGGAACCAGCAGTTAGCGTAATGGCTATGTCGCTGGATTCCCACGTAGTCGACCGCGGTTCGCGTCCCAGACCCGGTGGCTTGAAACTCACGCCGGGCGCGTGTGCGTGCGTGCCCAAGATCCTGAGAGGAGAATGGAGGAGAAGGGATTGCGGCGTGACCATCCCCTCTGGGGGGTGATTTCTCGCTTTCTGTCTCTCTGTCTCTGTCTGTCTGGCGAGCGCATGCGCCCTATAGCAAAAACCTCTCCAAAAAAAAAAAAAAAGTAGAAAGTCTGAAGAAAGCATCTTTCTTTTTTTTTGGAGAGGTTTTTGCTATAGGGCGCATGCGCTCGCCAGACAGACAGAGACAGAGAGACAGAAAGCGAGAAATCACCCCCCAGAGGGGATGGTCACGCCGCAATCCCTTCTCCTCCATTCTCCTCTCAGGATCTTGGGCACGCACGCACATGTGCCCGGCATGAGTTTAAGCCTCTGGGCCCAGGACTCACACTGTGGTAGATTACATGGGAGTCCAGTGACATAGCCATTATGCCAACTGCTGGTCCTGAAAAAAGCATTTTTCTGATTTAAGATTTTCCCCCCCAAATTACTAACACTACTTTGTTCGAGTTCTTTTTTTCCTAATACTTTATTAGAAGATCCATTATCTATGGAGAAGGCACAGAGACGATACATTTAAGAAATCATTAGAATGAATGGGAACCAGCAGTTAATGAAATGGCTATGTCGTTGGACTCCCACGAAGTCGACCGCGGTTCGCGTCCCGGATCCGGTGGCTTAGAACTCACGCCGGGCGCGTGTGCGTGCGTGCCCAAGATCCCAAGAGGAGAATGGAGGAGAAGGGATTGCGGCGTGACCATCCCCTCTGGGGGGTGATTTCTCGCTTTCTGTCTCTATGTCTCTCTCTGTCTGTATGGCGAGCACATGTGCCCTATAGTGAAAACCTCTCCCAAAAAAAAAAAAAAAAATCATTAGAATGAACACCTGTGTAACCACTGCCCAAGTCAAGCTCTGAAACATGCCAGCCCCCCCCCCCCACGGCCTCTTCCTGCTTAGGGAAGATCTTCACCCTGATCTTACTGCTTGGTTGTTTATATTGCCACAGCTGCTTGGGCTTACCTGAGAGAGGGAGGGAGAAGGCACCCCGCAATGGGGCGTGGTCACCCAACTCCATTTCTCTATCCTGTCAGGATTTAGGGCACACACACACCTGGCATGACTTCCTACCCCAAGGGCTGGGACTGAACCCGCAGCAAACTGTGTAGGATATGACTCCCTAAACCATGAGGCCATGTGGCCGCCCCACCCTGATCCTACAATCCACCTTTAATGATAAGCTTCTAACTCTCTGAGTTTGCTCACCTCAAAGGCAAGACCTGCTTCTAACATTTGTGAGGTCTGGGCAGAGGTACAAAGGGAGAGCTGCATACAGCTGAATGTTTAAAGTGGGGACCAGCAGATGGCATAACGGTTACGTTGCTGGACTCCCACATAGTTGACCGTAGTTTGAGTCCTGGACCCAGCAGCTTAAAACTTATGTCGGGCGCATGTGCATGCATGTTCAAAATCCGGAGAGAATGGAGGAAAAGGGACTGTGGTGTGGCCATGCCCCCTGGGGGCTGATTTCTCACTTTGTCTCTCCGGTAAGCACATGCACCCCATAGCAAACATCTCTCTCTAAAAATATATTCACAATGAATCAAGCTAACCAAGCGATGCACAAACATGAAGTGGCCCCACCCTGCCAGCTGGGGACACGTGCCTCTGTACTGACCTGGCTCTCTTTTAGGAGTTCAGGCCCTTGGTGACGTGTGTCTGCACGTGGCAGAGTAAGGAAGAGACAAGAAGCCCTCGCTCCATTCCACTTCGCTTCCTGCCCAGGCTTTCTGCCCTGTGGACCTCACTGCACTGCTGTGAATTCCAGGCTGCGCATCTGTGCACCTGACCTCCGGCCTCCCAGCCACTGGCCCTGCAGGAGTAAGGTGGGTACACAGCCCCCGTGGTCAGGAGGGTAGGCTCCGGAAGATGAGTGAGCCGGACTCCCCCCAGGCCCTGGGCACATGCGTGAGGCTGTCTGAGCAAAGGCTCCAGGGTCTCAGCAGCCAGGATGAAGTCAAGAACGGGGGCCCTGGCTTGGCAGCTCTGGCCCTTGGTCTTCTGGCTTGTGGAGAGGAGCATGACTGGATGGAGTAACGGCAAGACCTTCCGGAAAGCTGCGTTCAGGCAGCGCCCTCCTGGCTTAGGTCTAAGGTGGTACTGCGTGGGAACGGCTCAACAAGAGCCATGGAAATGTCACCGTGTTAGAATGTTCCCGTGATTCATGTTAACCTGGAGGGTGTTTTGAGGTGAGGTTAGCATTTAAATTGGTGAACTTCGCCGAGGCCAGACACAGGTGGGCCTTATCTAAGCAGCTGAACACAACACAGAGCAAAAAATCCTGGCCTCCCCCAAACCAGAGAGAATTCTCGAGCTGATGCCTCAGTCGGCCATCATGTGCTCCAGCAGCTTGTCTGGGCTCCAGCTGCCACCCCACGGGCAGGTTGCAGCCTCCCGGCCTCCGGGCAGGGAAGCCCGATCCTTCTAGCACATCTCTTTCTAGTATCTGTCTATACATCCCATGGGCTCTGTTCCTCTGGCGAACCTTAACAGCTTTTCCCAAATCATAAATGGTGTATTTTTCCTTCTATTCTTTAAGGAAAAGGCTGATCAAGTAAGACATTTTATAATTTTCTTTTTATCAAAGACAATGTACCATGTTAAAAAAAAATTCAGTTCACCTTTCTCATACAGAGGAAATGCTTAGCCATGGCTGGTTTCGAAGATGGTGATTACAAAACCTGGATGTGGCAGGACACAGCAGAGAACTATACTCACTGAGGTCAGGCGCCTGGGGTTGGAATGCTCTATTCTTTCTTTCCTTTCTTAAAAACGTTTTAAAGGCTTTTAAAGAAATTTATTATTATTATTGTTCTTTCAATTTACTATAGGACACATGTTCTCACCAGAGACAGAGACAGAGAGAAGGAAAGTGAGAAAGTAAGTCACCAGTTCTGGGACTCCAATCAGGTCGACCATGTGCAAGTCCAGCACCCTAACCACCATGCCCCTGCTGGCCCCTAATTTTTTTTCTTTTACTCATGATAGACTATGTGTGTGCATACCCATGAGAGAGAGACAGAGATCGAGAGAGAGACTGAGAGCAATGAGCACCTTCCACGGCCTGGTCTGGTCATGCCATGGACTCCTTCTAGCAGCCACCCAGCCCGGACAATCTCACACCTGTGGCTGGCAGGTTTCAGGATGACTGGGCGAGGGATTCGAACTGTGGTCACCAGGTGGGATCAGGCTTCTCCTGAGCAGTGCGTTACCACTGAGCCGCAGTCAGCTCTGAATACTCGGTTTTTCTAACCAGACTGTAAAACAGAGCGACCTGCTTATTGTTCGAAACTGTGCCACTCTCTAAGTTGTAGAGGACGCCCATGTCACAGAGTTCATGGGAAAGTCTGCTATCTTGACTCATTTAAAATTAGCACCTGCTTCTTATTGGAGATGCCAAACATTCCCGAGGAGGGAAACGGACGGTGTGTAGAGAGAGAACAACGGAGTGACTCTCATTAACCTAAGCACTACGGAAAGGAAGTAAGCAACCTCCTCTACCTGAACATGTATCCTGACATTTATTTTTTAAATCCTTGTTAATACAGTCTTTAATTCTGAATACGTTTCTTGGTTGGCACAGACAGAGTCTGACGTCCGGAGGTGAGGTCCCAGCTGCATTTGTTCAGATGAGCTAACATGACACACTGAATGTTTAGTACCTACGTCATGCTAGAATATCAGGACAGATATTCTTTTTTCTTTTTCTTTTTTTAGAGTTTTTTTTCTATAGGGCGCGTGCACTTGCCAGAAAGACAGAGACAGAAAGCGAGAAATCACCCCCCTGGGGGGATGGCCATGTCGCAATCCCTTTTCTTCCATTCTCCTCTTGGAATCCTGGGCGTGCACGCACACACGCCCGGCATGAGTTTAAGCCACCGGGTCTGGGACTCGAACTGCGATCGACTATGTGGGAGTCCAGCGACATAGCCATTACGCTAACTGCTGGTCCCAGGATGGATATTCTGCCATTTTACTAGAAGGGTTCAAAATTAATGGGGAAAAGGGTCTCATAAACAATTATTATAAGATATGGCCTGATGTATTTAACAAAAATAAAAAATATGTCGCTGGACTCCCATGTAGTCGGCTGCAGTTCAAGCCTTGGAACCGGTGGCTTAAACTCACGCCAGGTGCATGTGCATGCATGCACAAGAGCCCAAGAGGAGAATGGAGGAGAAGGGATTGCGGCATGGCCACCACCACCACCCAGCCCCAGGGGGTGATTTCTTGCTTTCTGTCTCTCTTTCTCTTTCTAGTGAGTGCACGTGCCCTATAGCAAAAACCTCTCCTATATAAAATCTGACAACTTGGAAAAAATAACCCCATGTTATGGTCCACCTCAGTAGGATGCCACCCCTGACCCTTGCCCTCTGCAGTCTGTCTTTGCCAGGCAGTGAGCATGTTAAAATCTAAGTCAGATCCTAGGTGCTCCTTTGCTCCAAACTTTCCAGTAGTTGCCCCATCTCATTCGGAATACTAGAGAGTTCCCAAATCAGTCTTCACAGAGTCTGTCAAAATCTGCTTTCATTTCCATAGCCAGCACCCACTCCAAACATTCGGCCTCATCTCCCCGTTCTCCCCACACGCTGTTCTCTCTCCTTGGACAATTCTCAAACCTGCTGACCATCTCCGAGCCTCATGGCCTCTGGGCTGGCAGCCTGGGACACTGGTCCTACAAATACCCACTTGGGTCACACCGTGTCTCCTACAGACTCTGACTTATCCGCCATGGCAGCCCACGTCTTGGTGAGGCTGCTCTGGCCACCGTCCCGATGACTACAATTCCCACCGCACGCTGCCAGTTTACTCCCCTCCCACTCGTGGTCCATCAGGGCCCGACCGCCTTCTGAGCCCTGGGCAGTTTAACCGCATCTGTACCGAGTGTCCACCTTCCTCCCGAAATGCAAGCCACGCAAGGCAGAGGTGCTCGCTCTGCTCTTCAATGCGCATCCCAGCACCTAGACTCTTGCCACGTGACAGGCACTAATTAAATAGCTGATGAATTCGTGCAAGAGAAGCAACCCAACAAATTGAAAGCAGCCATAGTGGGCATCTAATGTTCAGGAACATTTTAATTGTCCCTAAAGTAAAGATCTAAATTCGCTACTATCTCATAATGAGTTTTTTAATTTATAAATGGGATTTGTAGCCTAAGCTCACTCCTGAACACACTTTATTGAGCACTATGACTTGATTATCTTAATAGGAATTTTCTTACTTAGTGGTCTCCAAATCAAGCATTAATTTACTAATAAATTCAGTTGCCTCCAGGCAGCATTGTCACTAAACCATGGGCAAATCCAAGGGTATCTTCCTAGCTTGGAGAAATAAAGCTGGTGAGGAGGCTCAATTGAATGGAAAAACAAAAGGCAAGTCTTTGTATTGTCTGTTGTGTTTCTCTTAGGCAAAAATACATTGTCCCCATAGCCAGTCTCAGCTTAGACACTGGATGGTGGCTAATCTGTGGGAACAGGGCAGTACAGAGATAGCAAATTCATATAAACAATAGTAAGATGATATGTCAAAAAAAATCATTGTACAAAATTAGCTAAATGGTTACTATGCTTCCAAAAATAGGATTTAAAACCTCAGTTAAAAGGTTTTCAAGTTCTTTATTTACAGACCCTGAAGTTAAAAAACAGATTTTGGGACCAGCAGATGGAACAATGTTTACGTTGCTAGACTCTCACATAGTCAATTGTGGTTCGAGTCACAGACCTGGTGCCTCGAAACTCACGCCAGGTGCATGTGCATGTGTGCCCAAACTCCGACAAGAGAATGGACTGCAGCGTGACCAGCCCCCACTGGGAGATGATTTCTTGTTTTCTATCTCTCATCTCTCTGTCTCTCCAGTGAGTTCATGCCCCTACAGCAAAAATCTCTTCCTGAAAAAAAGATTACAATGTTATCGTAAAACATTTTGATTCCCCAAAAAGGGTGACCCAAAATCTATCACTAGGTATTTCAGACTTTGTGCCAGACTTCCCAGGACATTTAGAAGAAGAGAGACGCCTTGGGCATGTGCCCCTTACCGATTCCACCACCGACCTCGCTTCCTCCGGCGTGCAGTGGAAAGGGCTACCACACACCTGCACGTTCGTGCTGGAGAGAAAGAGAACACCGTGATTAGAGCAAAGGACCAGCGAGTGCAGAAGAACCACTCCGCCGACAGGACCTCAGCCATGGAACAAGGAGCAGAGTGAACATAAATGACTGTACTAAAACGTTTGCATATTCCTGCAGGCAAGCTCACAGATACCAAGCACTCCACAGCACTGTACTCTCCAGAGTAGAAGGAGAAAAATTATTCCAGGGCCAGCCCATGGCCTAGTGGCTAAGGTGGCTAGGTCCCACACGGCCAACCCTACAATTCACGTTGACTTGGCAGCTTGAGAAACACACGGGGTGTGTGTGCATGTGCGCCCCCAATCCGGACACGCTGGAGAAATGGAGAAGTGACTGTGGGTGACCACACCCCATGGGGTACTCTCTCCTTCCCCACCTTCTTCATTCTCCCTCTGGTGGGCACAGGCATCCTCTGGCCAATTGAAAGCAAAACAGAAAAAGGAGGTGGAGACTCATCTGGAGCCACGGCAGCGTGGCCAGGCCCACGGGCTGCCGCTGAGAGTGGGTGGCCCTGACTGGACTCGGGAGGGGTGTGGAGAGGCCGAGCGCCCCTGCTCGAGTCGGTGCGGGTTTCTGCCAGCCTCGGTCAGACTCACTGAGAAGCAGGTGCTCTTGTCCCCTGACCTGTCCGTGTGGACTGCACTTGCTGTGGTGACGTCACCATCCGGGTACTGATTATGCCCACTGGTAACGGAGTGTGGAAGGCCAGCCGTTCTGGTGAGCACTGAGCTGACTCTAATACTACTGCAGGTGCAGGTAATACTGCAGCTCTAAAGAGACCCAACGACAGTGAGGCGCTAGGAAAACCTGCTGTGGTGAAACAGCTGTGTAATATTAGAAAAAAGAATCCCGGAAGTCTTTCTAAGAGTCTTGAAGGCCAGCTGGTGGCATAGTAGTTAAGGCAGGAGGATTCCCACACGGCCAACTGTGTGGTTTGAGTCCCAGACCCAGCGGCTTGAGAAACACACCAGGCAGGTGTGCGTGCTTGCCCACAATCCCAAGAGAGTGTGGGAGAAGGGACTGCAGGTGGCCATCTCCCTCTCACTTTCCCCTGCCCCCCTTTCCAGCAAGTGCATGTGCCCCATGGCAAAAACAAAACAAAAAAAAACCTTTTTCTTCACCATAGGGTACATGCGCTCGCTGGAGAGAGACAGAGAGAGGGAAAGTGAGAAATCACCCCCCAGGCAGGATGGCTGTGCCACGTCCCTTTTCTTCCCGTCTCCTCTGAGGACTTTGGGCATGCACGCACATGCGCCTGGTGTGAGTTTCAAGTCACCAGGGCTGGGACTCGAACTACAGTGAGCCATGTGGGAGTCCAGTGCCTTAACCACCACACCACCTGCTGGCCCCCAGAAAAAAAATCTTTGTAAGTGTTTTTAAGTTATGAGGAGTTTAAGGGTTATAAAATCTTTATTTCCTCTTCCATAGTGTTAGAATACAGGGAAATCTATATAGAATCCACTTAAGAAAGTCAGTCTATACCCAAAGACTGGTGAAAAACGTACATTTAAATGTCTGGGTAAGATAAAGTGCATGAATTTCAGGTGTTTCTGTTACTCGCTTCCTTTTCCTCAGTCAGCTAACGACCCAGGGCAGGCTGGACGGGGCAGCTGCCACTATTCTCACTGAAACACAAGGGGTAGTCCTGAGACGAATAAAATAACCCTGTTTGCTGGTCGAAACACTGGTTTACTTCACTCTGACTCTGCACACATTACAACGTACTGCAGTTAGACACCTGTTACCGTGTCAGAATCCCCACCCGGACTCGGAATCCCTTGAGAAAGGGGACCCTGACAGATCCTAGGTTCATGGTGTGTCACACCCAGCAGTGCTCACTGAATTTCAGTGAAAACTGAAATTCTTTTTAAAAAATATCTGAGATCTGAATAGTAGTACATGGCTGCTTAGTACCAATTAATACAACCTAGAAAAGACCAATTCTAGGCCAGCCCTGCAGTGGTTAAGGAAGCCAGATCCCACATGAGCGACTGCAGTTCGAGTCCTGCCCCTAGTGGCACATGCACGTGTGTGCCCAATCCTGACAAAATGAAGCAGCAAGGGCGAAAGGTCTGCAACGTGACCCTGTCCTGTGGGGGTGCTCTCTTCCTCTCTCTCCATCTCTTTGTCTCTCTCATGAGTGCATGCATGAGTGCAACCTCTGGCAATTAAAAAGGAAAGGCAAGTTCTTACCAATTTATGGACCCTCCATCACACTTCTTCATAAGCAATGCTTTCCAACATTCATGAGCAGATTTAATAACTTCAAGAGCAAATGCCTAGTTTCAAAACAAAGTGAACAAAAATGAGACGCAGCAATCACGTTATTATCCTACCACAGAACCAGCTCACCATCACAGCCGGTGCTCCGAGCCTGAGCTCTGGGGTTTGGCACACCTGGGCATACATTCTCATTGGCTTATTTAACATCTGTGTGACTTTGGACAAGATACTTAATCTTTTTTTTTAAGAGAGAGATTTTTACTAAAGGGTGCATGTGTTCACCAGAGAGACAGAGAGAGAGAAAGCAAGAAATCACCCCACAATGAAGATGGCCACACCGCAATCCATTCTCCTCTTGTGGAAGTCAATCAACATAACCATTATGACATCTGCTGGTCCCAAGATAAATTTCTGCTATAGGGAACATGTGCTCGCCAGACAGACAGAGGGTGAGAAATCACCCCCCAGGGATGGCCACACCATAATCCCTTCTCCTTTATTCCCCTCTCGGGATTTTGGGCATGCACACATACACACATCCAGTGTGAGCTTTATGTGGTCCAGGACTCAAACCAGGGTCAGCCATGTGGGAGTCCAGTGATGTAACCATTTTGCCATCTGCTGGTCCTGAGGTTACTTCAGCCTGACTTCATCTCATACTAAGCCTGAATTTCTTTGTCTACGAAATGGCAAGTAACAGGGAGAATCAAAATCAGGGGTCTACAGATTGGAGCCTGAGGCTCAAGCCAGCCTGCCACCTGCTGTGTAAATAAATGGCTTTACTGAAGGTAGTTCTGGCCGCCTTAGCGCAACGATGGCAGGGGTGGGGCATGCCATGCCATGTGGCCTGCAAAGCCTGAAATATTGACTGTCTGGCCCTTAACCGAAAAATGTTTGCCAACTTGATCTGAACCATGGAGTCATTAAAAGAATAAGGACCAGTAGGTGACATAATGGTTACATCACTGGACTCCCACATAGTCGACCGCAGTTCGGGTCCTGGACCTGGTGGTTTGAAACTCATGCCAGGTGCATGTGTGTGAATGCCCAAAATCCCAAGAGGAGACTGGAGGAGAAGGACTGTGGTGTGGCCATGCCCCCAGTGGGTGGTTTCTAGCTTTCTGTCTCTCTGTGTCTCTCCAGCAAGCACAGGCGTCCTATGGCAAAAATCTCTTTTTTAAAAAAAGAAAAAAAAAGAGAGAGAGAGAATATGAGCTGGCAGGTGTCATAGTGGTTAAAGTGCTTAATCTCACATGGCTATGTGCTTTAAGTCCTAGATCTGGAGGCTTGAAAAGACACAGTGGGTATACATCCCCAAATCCCAAGAGAACAATAGAGGGGTAGGGATTTTAGGGGGTGATTTCCCACTTTCTCTCTATGTCTCTCTGTCTCCCTGGTGCTCTCCAGTGAGAACAAGCACCTTACTTTAAAAAAACTGAAAAAAAAAAAAAAAAAAAAAAAAAACCCACAAATAAACAAGATGAAGTCTGTGAAATGCTTAGCCTGGTGCCTGACTTAAGAGCAAGCACATACCGGGAACCAGCAGTTAGCGTAATGGCTATGTCGCTGGACTCCCACGTAGTCGACCGCGGTTCGCGTCCCGGACCCGGTGGCTTAAACTCATGCCAGGCGCGTGTACGTGCGTCCCCAAGATCCTGAGAGGAGAAAGGAGAAGGGATTGCAGCGTGACCATCCCCCCTTGGGGGTGATTTCTCGCTTTCTGTCTCTATGTCTCTCTCTATCTGTCTGGCCAGCGCACGCGCCCTATAGCGAAAACCTCTCCAAAAAAAAAAAAGAGCAAGCACATACCGATTTCATCGTCATCAAAACTGCAAGCATTTTCACCACAGAGTGACCCTGGACCGCCCCGTCTGTGTGACAGCAGTACATTTCCTTACCACTCGCGGTATTTTCCTAGGTGCTCATCTGGTATCTAAAATGCACAGTCATCAACAGGTAACACCTCTTGCTAGATATGCGTCTAGTCAGACCATCTAAAGAAAACTGGCTTGGGACCAGCAGATGGCGTAATGGTTACGTCGCTGGACTCCCACATAGTTGACCGGGTTCAAGTCCCAGACTCAGTGGCTTTAAACTCATGCTGGGCGTGGGTGCATGCACGCTCAGAATCCCGGGAGGAGAATGGAGGAGAAGGGATTGCAGCATGGCCATTTCCCCTGGGGATTTCTCACTTTCTGTCTCTTTGTCTTTGTCTCTCCTATGAACGCATGCACCCTATAGCAAAAATATAAAAAAAGAAAACTGGCTTTATCATTCTCAAGCAGAAAATCCTTTAGACTTTTCCCAAAATAAATGTTGCTTACTTTCCCTAAAGACATTAAGATAATGAAGAAAATAAGCCTCTTCGGAGCCCAGATGTATAAATACTGGGAGCTCTAGCTCTGGACGGCTCCCCAGGTTTACTGCTGCCTGAGACGGAGAGTGGGGAGTGCCACCTACGACACGGGACAGGAAATCCAGCTGACGATCTGGATCACGCAAGGGAAGACGTTTAACCACCGTTTTCAGAAAACTGATCATTCGGAACCGATTCCAGGACCAGCTCCATGGTGCAGAGGGAATGAGCTGATCAAGAGAAGCTGGATTCCAGGTGATGACCACAGATCAAATCCCTGGCCTGGGTGGCCCGAAACACACCAGGTACACATGTACGTGTCCGGGATCCGACCGGCAGAAGGGCTGGAGGAAGGGGAATGTGGAGGGATCAGACCCTGAGGTGCTACCCCCTCTCTGTCTCTCACGTGTGCACACACATCCTATCGTCATGAGTAAAGGAAAAAACGTATAAAATGAGAAAGATGAAGAGCACTAGATAGAAACTTATGGGGGCTGGCAGGGGTTAGTGGTGGTTCAGGTGCTGAACTCCAGATGGCCAACCGCAGTTTGCATCCCAGACCTGGTGGCGGGCTTTCTCACTTTCTCTCTCCCCTCTCTGTCTCTTCCTGGTGAGTGCATGTGCCCCATAGCAAAATTTTAAAAAATAATAATAAATTAAATAATTCTTAAAAAATAAAAAGAAAAGAAACCTGTGAACGGAAGCAAAATATGTCCAGGAAAAATATACTATATATTTAGAACAGATTCTAGTATTTGCTTAAAGTGATGAGCAGGAAAAACAGAATAAAACACAAGAGCCATCTTTTCAACCAGGTTAAAGAAGTACAACTTGGTTTTCTTTAGCTAGGCTGTGTTCTAAGCAGCAGTGGTAAAAAGCAAGCACGAGATGGTTCTTTTCTGAAGAGGTTGTATACATACCCTAGTCTTCATTTATGTTTGTCAAAAACAAAAACCCCATGAGGACTGAAAAAAGGTATCGCTCTGTAAAAACGCGTAACTTAGCAGACTGCACTGAGTCGACAGGAGCGCTGAAGCACGACACCGGGGGGTGGGGTCTGCATTATTTCAAACGTAAAATATAACATATTTCAAGGAAAAAGAGGATTGACCGTATAAATGTACAACATGTCATTTTCAGGTAAGAGACTTCAGTCTAAAATAAGAGTTTTATACTTATATTTAAAAATTCTAAAGTTTTGTTAAAAACAATAGGGGGTCGGGAACCAGCAGTTAGCGTAGTGGCTATGTCGCTGGACTCCCACGTAGTCGACCGCGGTTCGTGTCCCGGACCTGGTGGCTTAAATCTCACGCCGGGCACATGTGTGTGCGTGCCCAAGATCCCGAGAGGAGAATGGAGGAGAAGGGATTGCGGCATGACCATCCCCCCTGGGGGGTGATTTCTCGCTTTCTGACACTATGTTTCTCTGTCTGTCTGGCGAGCGCACACGCTCTATAGCAAAAATCTCTCAAAAACAAACAAACAAACAAACAAACAATAGGGGGTCTAAAAATCAGTTCTTATATAGCAAAACACTAAATTTTAGGTTTCTATTAACATGTCTTATTACATCTAACATACTTTACTTACAAACAGCCCCTTAAAAGTTAGTTTATAACATGTATTGCTTAGTGGCACTGTTAAACAAATATCTCATGTTTTAGACTCGACTGGCTGGCCTGTTTTCCGCACCTGTGCCGAGCTGGAGACCCTTTACAGTAACTGCGGTTTTTTTTTTTTTTTTGGGGGGTTGTTGCCCTGGCTCGCCAGACAGAGAGAGAGAGAGAGATAGAGAGACTGAAAGAGAAATCATCCCCCAGGGGGGGATGGCCACACCTCAATCCCTTCTCCTCCATTCTCCTCTTGGGATCTTGGGCATGCACGCACACGCACCCAGTGTGAGTTTTAAGCCACCGGGTCCGGGACTCGAACCGCAGTCGACTACGTGGGAGTCCAGCGACACAGCCATTACGCTAACTGCTGGTCCCAGTAACTGTGTTCTAAGACAAACATTCTATGACAGTGAGGACACTCGAGGGCTGTCTTAACTGTGAGCAGTTAATTCAGTCATGGTAGGATGGACATTTAGGAGGGGAGCCGGGGAATTGACAGTAAGGCTAAGTAACTTCCTCCCCCGACATGCCACCGGAGGCTTTCTCCTTCCCAGCATGCAGAGTCAGACTCGCCCTGCAATGCCTTCCTTTCCTGAGGACATGGAGGAGCTACGGGTATATTAGTGGATAATTTTCAGCCATGTTGATTCATCTAGAGCTCTTCTGTAAATATTTCTTTTTAAATAAAAATAAAAAAAATAATGCCTGTGGGCCAGCAGGAGGCATGGAGGTTAAATAAGGTGCTGGATGCCACATGGCCCACTGCGGTTCGAGTCCTGGGCTGGTGACTTGCAAACCATGCCAGGTGTGTGTGTGTATGCCCAAAGGCCTGAGAGGAGGATGGAGGAGGGACTGGACATGGCCCTCTCCCCTGGGGGGTTATTTCTCACCTTCCCTCTCTTTCTCTGGCGAGTGCACATACCCTACAGCAAAAATAAAGAGCATGCCCTTAAATATGTAAGTCAGTAAAAATCACTTTAGTCATCATGCTAGGATACAAACACTTAAGAAACTCCCCAACTTAAGTACAGTACAGGTCTCGGGGGATAGTTTACAATAAAGACGATCATCTTCACCTTGTTTTTGAATTCTCCATTAAAGGCAAACTGGTTTTCTGGTTTTCCATCTGGCACCTTATAAAATCTAAACCAATTAAGTGTAGCTTCCAGGTAGCCTGGCTTGAACTTCTTAACATCACCAATATCTGTAAGTGAAGAAGAAAAAGATGATTTATTAAGAGTCACTCCATGGAGAGGGAGAGCCTGGGCTCCAGGACGCAGAAGCCCGGGGCCACCAGCTGCAATCGCCTGTGGTAACGACCAGCAAATGTCCCCCTGCGTGCATCGCCTCTGGCTCCCATGTGTGCACCTGCGGAACATCATCCCCTCGCTCTATCGACGTCCCCTCGCTCTATCTAGGGACAAGTGGGCAAGCACAAGCTCTTCTCAGCAAGGACCTCCTGAGCCTACGGGAGAGAGACGACCAACTGCAAGGAAGTGCAATGAGGTCTCGTAAGACAGCTTGAAGGGGGCCAGCAAGTGGCCTGATGGTTAAGGGCACTGTACCTCCAAATGACGGCTCACAGTTCGAGTCCTAGACCTGAAGGCTTGAAAATCATACCGGGCACGTGTGTATGCGTGTCCAAAATTCCAGCAGGAGGATGGAGAAGGGATACTGGTATGGCTTTCACCCTGGGGGGCGCTTTCTCACTTTCCCTCTCATTATCTCCCTCTCTCTCCCTCCAGCGAGTACATGTGCCTGGTAACAAAAACCTTAAAAAGAGGCAAATTCAAGGAACAGTAACAGCACAAAACAGGGAGCGAGCGAGCACGCCATGGAAGGGAAGGCATTTCACCAGTTGGGCTGGAGGGGAAAAGGCGGCGGGCATGGGAGGAGGGTCAGAAAAACAACCACGAACGGTTCCGTGTGGCTGGAACTTCGCATCAAGAGGCGTGGAGATGCTCAGGAAGGACCAGGCCACTAGGATCGGAAAGGCTGATGTTCCTGCGAGCAATGGAGGTTTGGAAGTGGGGCAGACAGGTCGCCAGGACCTCCGCTCCAGAAAGCTAGCCTGGAGGGATGCCGAGCAGAGGACACAGAGGGTGGGACTGGGGACAGAACACTCGCCCTTTAAACCAGAGGGGTTTTATATATTTATACAAAGTTCTCACTATGCCAGACGAGGCCCAAGCAGGGAAATGGAACGAAGCATGAACAGTAGCGAGTCCCTCTCTCCTGGCTTATATAATAGGAAGAGCAGGGAACAAGTGAAAAAGCGAACACACAACGTGTTAAATGGCAAAAAGTCGATTAGAAAAATGAAGCACAGTAGGGAGACAGAGATTTCGGACTAGGTAATTTTAAACAGGCTGGTATCAGGGTGACTCAGGATTTCCCGTTTCATTTCAAATTCTCTAATGACTTTCAGGGTTGCCTTTTAAGTTCTATTACCACATAAACAGCTCAGAAAAGATCATTTATCTTTTTATTTTATTATCTAAAAAGATAATCATAGTTGGGTGGCATTAATTTGAATGTAATTAAAAATAAAATTACTATGTTAATAATAGTAATCTCCTCCCCCAAATAAGACTCTAAGGCATGTATCTTTTTTGATAAATACCATTCAAAAAGTTTGAGAAATAGAGAAGGCTCCACGGTGCTGCTCAAGAGAAGTCAGATCCCACAGGGTGACTGGTTCAAACCCTAGACCTGGTCAGCCTGAAACACACCTGTAGGTACAAGTGCCCAAGAACCCAGTGGGTGGAGGACCAGAGAAAGGGGAGGGAGTCTGACAGGCCCCGTGGGGGCACTCGCCCCACTCTCATATGTACACACATGCTCTACCATGAGTTCTTTTGTTAAAGTAAGAGAAATGGCTACATGAAACTAGAAATCTTTACTCTCCACACATTGCAGCTAAAGGGAAATTTCGCAGACTTCTCTACACACACCGTATTACAACAACTGCCAAAGATATTCGGTAGACGCGGAAATAGCACACTCTAAAAACAGGAGATGACACCAGGCACGGATGTCGCTGCGAAGATCACTCGGTTTCAGACTTGGTCATCCGAGGCTCGTGGGAATCCCCGCTCTGTGAAGTACGAGACGAGGGGAACGTTTCACGGGCCGTGGTTAGACAGACAAGGATGCTCCTTCCACGTTCACGCTCGCCTCCTGTCTGTAGGCCAAGGTAAAGCCGGCTCACGGGTTCTGGCAGCAGCTTGAAGTTCACAGAAATGAAATCAGCGTGGCAGGAGGAGACCAGGGCAGACAGAAGATTCGGCAGACTGCTGAGAGTCACTCAGAGAGCATTCGAAGTTGTGGCGATGGGCCTCAGCCACCACGCCACAGGTTAGCCCAGAATTAATAAGCAAGTCAGAAATCCGCGACAAGTGGACTTTAAAAGTTTTACAGAAAATGAAGGCATGCAAAAACCAAGTTTGAACAAGTGGAACAGAGAGTGGGGGTTGGTCTGCACATAAGGCTATAATAATTAAACAGCATGGCACTGGCAGGGGTGCTCATTGACACCCAACTGAGTCTAGAGACAGACTGTATAAATAAGAACACAGTATCTGATAAAGACTCATTTCAAAGTAGTGGAGAGGGACCAGTAGGTGGCATAGCAGTAATGTCACTGAACTCCCACATGGTCAACTGTCATGGTTCAAGTCCCGGAACTGATGGCTTAAAACTCAAGCCAGGTGCACATGCATGCATATATGCCCAAAATCCCGGGAGAATAGAGGAGAAGGGATTGTGGTGTGGCCATACCACCAGGAAATGATTTCTTGCTTTGTCTGTCTCTCTAGCAAGTGCACACACCTTACAGCAAAAATCTCTCTTATAAAAAGAAAAATTAGTGAGGAAAAAAATCAGGTTTTCCCCTTCAGTGACGTTGAAAAGATTGTATATATGGAAAAAAAAAAATCAGATAAATTCTACATGTACTAAAGACCCCACAGTAATTATATGTATATATACACGTACACAAGTGCATACATAAATTAGGCTGTCAGGAAAGCCATAATGTCTTTTTCTATGCAAAAATGAGTCATGACTTGCCCAACAAACCAACATGTGTGCGCGTGTGTGTATGTGTGCGTGTGTGTGCGTGTGCGTGCGTGTGTGTATAATATATACATATGTAAGTGTATATATATATACTTCTTTATAAGTGTATATATATATATATAGAATAAAGGAAGTTAAAATACATGTTTCTGACAATGAGGTAAGGAATTCTTAAACAATAATCTAAGTGATAATGTCATGTATAGAAGTTTGATAAAATAAAATACATCAAAATTTAAAACCTCTTTAAGCCAAAAGTCAAGACGTGTTTCCACAGATGGAAAAAGAATGTCTGCAGCCTTAATAGGAAAGGATTAATAATGTATCTGACCAAGTCCCATATATCAAAAAATACAGTGACCAATAAAAAAGGCTAAGAATCACGCGTAGACGGTTCAGTCACGACAGCCATCCTTCAGTACCCGCGGGACTGGCTCCAGGACAACCCCAATACCGACTCCTGGGATGCCCAGGTCCCTGCACACAACGGCGTGGGGTTTGCATGTAACCTACACACCGTCTCACGCACTTTAAATGCAGTGCTACATTACAGCTGTAACAGCGTTTTCTTCTTTGCCTTATTTTGTATTTTTTTCCCCACAAATAATTTTCATCCATGGTTGGTTGAATCCACATACACGGGACCTGCAAACATGGAAGACTGTATGTGACAAAGATACTCTATCCCAAGACTTAGGAGAAAAATGCAAAATTAAAACAAGGTACTACTTTTTGTCAGGTTCAAGTATTGTTGGGGAAGCCTTTAATCTCATACCCTGATGACACGAAACCGGACAGTCATTGCAAAAGGCAATTTGGTAACAGCTGGTAAAATTTCAAAATACTTTCAACCTTTGGGTCTGTGATAGTATGCTATTTGAGCTTCAACATCTGTAAATTACATATTACTTATTTCCTTTATGTAAATTAGAAAACTGGGGTTCAAAGAGGTTAAGTAACATACTCAAGAGCTCAGAGAGAATGAGGCGTAATGCCCATATACTAGCTTCGAATATGAGGTGGCGGACTGGGGGCCAAGTATCATCAAACTTGATTAGGTTATTACATCTTTTCTTTTCTTTGGAGAGATTTTTGCTATAGGGCATGTGTGCTTGCTGGAGACACAGAGACAGACAGACAGAAAGTGAGAAGTCACCCCCCAGGGGGGATGGCCATGCCATAATCCCTTCTCACCATTCTCCTCAGGATCTTGGGCACGTATACACATGTGCTTGGCATGAGTTTTAAGCTATCAGGTCTGGGACTCGAACTGTGGTCATCTGGGACTTGAACTGTGATCAACTACGTGGGAGTTCAGTGCTGTAACCATTATGCCATCTGCTGGTCCTGAGGTTATTACATCTTAAAACCTTCTCACTAGGTACCAAAACTGCTATCAATTTTTGTTGATTCAAGAATAGAGACTCCAACTGGTGGATGAGACGAACGGAATGGTTCACAACTTGAAGGACCTGGTGCTCCACCACACTACGGACTCCACCTCTCTAACCTCTGCACCCACGTTGGGGAACACCCGCACTGCAATGATCAGGAGATGAGAAACGTGAAGTGCTGCATGTGTCTGGGTTATTTCCACCAAATCCTAACAGAAAATGAGGAAAGCCTGGAATTAGCTGATGACTTTTTATTTTTAGATAAAAATCACTAGCATAAACGAAATACTGCATTTCTTTGTGCTCATTATTTAAAAGAAAAAAAAATAACAAAAACAGAAAACACCAGGAAATGACTTCAGGCTAAAGTTTTGTCCAAGGGGGTTAAGAAAAGGAAAAGAAAAAAGGAGTTTCCAATTCTCACACAGCGCTCTCACTCCGAGACTGAGCACTGTCGTCACACAACCAGCCCCTCCAAACCGTCGGTGGGAAGCAAGAACATGTGGTCCTAATGCCTTCTTATAAACAGTCACGAGGAACACTTTCATTCCATCGCTGGAAGTCACTGTATCTTCTGCATTATAAACAGAGGTCCCTGCTCGGAGCATAGTGTTCAATGGTCTGTGTTTACTCAAGATCTTGAAGAGACTGTCATGCTCCCATACTGCTGTGCCCTCTCATCAGTGCACACGGCAGATGTACAGCACTTCCCTTTGCCGTAACTGCACTT